TACACTTTCCTGTTGTATTTTCTTTCTTTTATTGTTCTGGAATGCTAGTGACATTTTTTAAGTTATAGATCCAGAAACTTCCTTGGTAGCTTTGTTTCTTTGTCCATGTATGCAATCAAGTCTTCTGCAAATAAATATAATTTTATCTTATTTTTATGATTTCTGAATAAAATTTTTCTTGCCTTATTGCATTGGCATGCATTCAGTGAAAATTTGAACAGAAGCAGTGAGAGCTAATTCCTAGTCTTGTTTCTGACTTCAAGAAGGGTGCTTTTTACATGTTATCCCTGAGTACAACTCATTTAGATTGCTTGTAGGTGACCTTCAAGCTAAGAACTTACTTTCAATTTCTATTTGGCAGGTAGTTTTTATCCTGAATGGATCTTGATAATTTTCAGTACATTTTTCTGAATCTCTTGTGATGATCTTTTTTTAACGTTTAATTTCTTAATAAAATAAGGGGCAGTAGTCATATTGGGTAATTTTGAGACACTAATAGGTCACTTCAAAAATTCTCCTCAAAAGTCCTTCAACAAGTTTCCAGTAATCAAAACCACATGGTGCTGGCATAAAAACAGATGCAGAGATCAATGGAACAGAATAGAGATCCCAGAAATAAATCCATGCTTATATGGTCATTTAATCTATGACAATGGAAACAAAAATTTAAACTGAGTTAAAGACAGTCTATTTAATAAATGGTGCTGGGAAAACTAGACAGATACATGCAAAAAATTAAGCTGGACTACCTCCTTACACCATATACAAGAACAAACTCAAAATGGATTAAAGACTTAAATGTAAGACACGAAGCCATAAAACTCCCAGAAGAAAATATAGAAAGTAAATTTGCAGACATTGCCCTGAGTAATATTTTTACTGATATATCTACCTGGGCAAGGGAAGCAAAAGAAAAAATAAACATGTGTGATTACATCAAACTAAAAAGTTTTTTTACAGCAAAGGAAACCATCAATAAAACAAAAAGTCATCCTACTGAGTGGGAGAAGATACTTGCCAATGATACATCTGATAAGGGGTTAATATCCAAAATTTATTTTAAAAACTTTTACAATTCAACACTAAAACCCAAACAACCCAATTAAAAAACGGGCAGAGGACATGAAGAGACATTTCTCTAAAGAGGACATACAGATGACCAACAGGCATATGAAAAAATGCTCAACCTAACTAATCAACTAATCATTAGAGAAATGCAAATAAAAAACACAATGAGATATCACCTCACTCCGGTCAGAATGGCTATCATCAATAAATCAACAAACAACAAGTGCTGGCGAGGTTCTGGAGAAAAGGGAACCCTGGTGCACTGTTGGTGGGACTGCAGATTGGTGCAGCCATTATGGAAATCAGCATGGAGGTATCTCAAAAAACTGGAAATGGAACTACCTTATGACCCAGCAATTTCACTCTTGGGTATCTATCCAGAGAAACCCAAGACGCTAATTCGAAAAAATATATGCACCCCTATGTTTATTACAGCACTATTCACAATAGCCAAGACTTGGAAACAACCAAAATGCCCATTGGTAGACGACTGGATAAAGAAACTGTGGTACATTTATACAATGGAGTATTACTTGGCCAAAGATAAGAGTGAAATCTTACCATTTGCAACGACATGGATGGACCTAGAGAATATTATGCCAAGCGAAATAAGTCAGATGGAAAAAGACAAATACCATATGATCTCACTTATGTGTGGAATCTAAAGAACAGAATAAACAAGCAAACGAAACAGAAATACTCTCAGAGATATAGGGAAAAAAACCTGATGGCTGCTAGACTGAGGGAGGGGACGGGGGAGAAGAGAAGGGATTAGAAAGCACAAATTAGTAGTCACACTATTGCCATGGGGATAGAAAAGACAGTTTGGGGAATATAATCAATAATGTTGTAAAGGTTTTGTAGGGTGTCAGATGGGCACTGGACTTATTAGGGAGACCGCTTCATGGATGGTGGAGATACCTGACCTCTGCACTGTCCACCTGAAGCTGAAACTGAATAATAATGAATGTCAACTATAATTTAATATTTATATATGGTCACGGGAAATGGAGCGCAACATAGGGAACAGAGTCAGTGGAACTGGAACAGCTGTAGACCATGTCAGAGGGGCAGTAGACTGCGGGAGGGGTTATCACTTTGTGAGGGGTGTGAATGTCTATTACATTGTTTTGTACACCTGAAACTAAAAAAAAAAAAAGAAAGAAAAAACGAAAAAAGGCCTTCAATGTCCACTTCCCTGACCTAATGCAACCTTGATATTGGTGATGCTTTTAAGAATTGTTCCACTAGCGTTTGACATTGACTGGAATTTCGGCATGCTGGTCTCACTTTGAAACGTAGAATTTATTACCATTGTGTCTAAGCTAAAACAGAACTAGGCTCACGTCAGCGTGCAGCTGCAGTTTTGCTGTATTTGGTTGATTTCTTTTGTACTATCTTCCAATTCACTGCTTCGCATTTTGACTGCATTCAAGCTCCAGTTTAACAGGTCTTGTTTTTTTACAAAATTTATTTCAATGACTCCTTTTTAATTCATGTTTAAAATCTCCAACTAATTCTTTTTCACAAAACTGAGTTCTGATAGCATTCTCTGTTTTTTTCCATTGTTTTTATTCATTTGTAAATCAATTGTACCTCCAATTATCTCTTCAAACACCTTCGACATACTTATTTGGCAGCTTTTGCTTTTCTTCATATAAAGGCATGAATGATTTTCACCTACAGGAGTTTCTTTTCTTGGTTACATTCCTTCGAGTTATATTTTCACATGCCTTTCTCAGGTTTATCTCCAAGCCAGAGCTGAGCCGGAGGAGCCTGAGATTGTTCTCCCTTTATTTCTGCGTCTCTCTTTCTTCACCCTCCTGCCTCTTCCTTCCTCTCTGTGCTCACGTCCCTGTCTGAGGGTGCTGCCTCCACGCCACCTGTGGGACAGCCAGGTCCCAGTCTCATCACAGGGTGCACGGCCCATCCATGATGCCTGCAGGGAACGGGCTCAGGTCCCGGTCACGTGCGTGGTTCTGTGTGTCTGCTCTAGTTCCCAGGAGCAAGCTGCTTCCAGCTTTAATACCTGGGGCCAAGGGCTCCACCTCCCCACCTGGCTACAGGTGAGGAGCCTGGCCCTCATCTCCACCTGCTACTACCCGGCAGGTGTCAACCTTGTCCACCTGTGTGGAGCCCAGCGGCCCTCGGAGTTCACCTCGCTCAGTGGCTGTGATTCCTGCTCCCACTCGGGGCCTGGAGACACATACCCTGGTTTCGCAGCTTGCGGATGTCTTTGCATTTTCTCTGATCATTTCTACCATGTGCACCAAAAGGGTTATTATAACATAAAGTCGTTTCACTGCCTTGGTAGGAAACCTCTGTAATTGCTGGTAAGTGATAGGATTTTAAATGATGTGTATTTTTGTCTTTTATTCAGAATTTTTCAAGCAAAAGCAGATCATAAAGATTACATAGCAAAATGAAGAACGCTTATTTTGTAGAATTAAGTAGAAAAACATAATACAGATTGATATGTAACAAGCCATAATTATATATGTATATGGACAAGGACGAAGAGAGAGCTTAGAAAAATGAAGACCATTGGTTGGTGTTATAGGATTCTGGATGAATTCCTCTTTGATTTTTATTTTAACTCAAATGACAATAAGGAAGAGTTTATAATAGTTTGCTAGATGGGAGAGATAGAAAAATCAAGTAATAATTGTATTTAATGACTAAGCGATTTTTTTTTAACTGCAAGAAATAGGTCAAGTCTACAGGCAATCTGAGAAGACTCTTAGCATTTGCAATGGAAAAAAGAAGTAAATAGGGACATTAGCATTTGAAAGAGGAAAAAGCTTTCTCAACAAAACAGCAGGTGAAGTCAGAACTCTAAGAGGGCCTTGAAGCCTGTTTGCTGGTGCTGGCCTTTGGGACTCCCAGAGGAGGCTGTGTGGCCCTGTCCCCAGAAAGGGACAGCAACTGCAGGTCCCCTGGGGACCTCAGCCTGGGAGCAGGGAGCCCAGGGTGATATAAAAGGGGGTGGGGTGGGGGCAGGAGGCCATCCTGGAGGAGGCAAGACTCACACTGAGACCTAAGGGCAGAGAAAAGGCGGGAGGGGTCCTCCGTCATTGAGCCCATCCGAGAATAAGAGACTGCCTTTCACTGTGACAGCAATGATACACGGCTTCTGTCCTGCTGCTGGGCAAACACTGGGACTCCGCTGTGGACATTTTGGATAACACGCCTAGGAGGCACGGCGGAGGGCAGAGGCTCACCCTGCCTGAGGCCCCCTGGCCCTTTGGATGGAGCTACCCGGTGGGGCCCCACCTGCCTGGGTGGTGGTGGTCATGGGGGGTTCTGGCCGCCACCTGCGTAGCAGCCCAGGTGACGTTTTACTGGGCTCTGCACACGCCGTCACATGGCCCTTGTCCATCAGATACAACAGTCCTGGGCCCTGTGGGGTTTTCTGCTTCCCCTTTCGCTGGTGGGAAGGACCCGAGAAGGAGCCCGGCTGCTCTGAACATAACCAACCAAGCAGCCCTTTCAGCTCCAGCACCAGGAGTGAGAGGTGGGTGTGGGGCCTGGCACCGGCCCAGGCCTGCCAGCACCCTGTGGTCACCTCACACAGGCCACTCTGCCTGGCTCGCTACAGGCCCCGGCTGCAGAGGGTGGGTGGCCCTCTGGTCGGCGAGCGGCCTGCACCTTCGGTTTCCGCTGCTCCCGGGCGGCAAGGCTGCCGGCCAAGGTCATCACGCCACCTGAGCTCCCTTCACAGGCCGACCCCGCGCCCGTCCCGAGAGCTCGCCGGGTGTTTTCCTGAATGAGGTTCGCAGAGCATTTTTGTGAAGACTTTGATTAAGAAGCTGTTTTCTTAGGGCGCCCTCCGATGCCCCTCGAAAGAATGGAGGTGTTTATCCTTATTCACCAAGGAAATGGGTTGTAAGGAGAAGAATTCCCCACAATTTATTCACACAACAAAACATTAATGAGCATTACTAAATTCCTTTTTAGTGTATGAAAAAAAAATGCAAACAGTGATTTAATGAAGGATTTTGCTCTCAATGCTATTTTCCACCATAACAAAGGGGACATCCTTATTATTCAGAAAGTAGCTGGACTGGGAGGAGAGGTTCTATAAACAGCCATTAGCATCTTAATTACACGATAATTCAAAAGACAGCTCCCCTGGAAAAGGCTCTGGCCCATAAATCTCTGGGTCTCCAAGTCCAAGAAGTGAAACAGGCTCCGAGGACACGTCCCAGGCAGGGCCAGGCGGACGGGACTTCATGGTGTGGGGCCCGGGCGGCTCTCCCCCTGATAGTGGCCTGGGAGGCCGTGGCCCAGCTCCAGGACTGGTCACTGGTCCTGGCGGGAGGACCCTGGTCTGTGTGCAAGCCAGGACATGTGACGGGGATGTCAGCACCCTGGGGCCGCAGGGCCAGCAGGAGTGAGGGAGGTCCTCAGCGAGGATGTGAGGACAGGACTGGCCAGCAAGGGCTGAGTGGTTGCTTCTCTATGCCTGTCGCCTCTATGTCTCGGAGCTAATCCTGGGCTCCATCTTTGTCAGGTGAGAACCTTTCATTGGGCCTCATGGACCTCACTCAAGCCCACTTCTCCCTAAAGGGAAACATATTTTCACAGTTGCAAGGAAAACAAAAGTGCTCCCTCAGGAGGACGCCCGGCTTAGAGACCAAGGGCTGACCCACACTCTCTGCAGCCCCTCCATGTCCCCGCCGGAGGCTCATGGGGACTCGGTCCTTAGGCCGGACCTCTCCATGAGGTGCCTCTCGACAGCCCCGGGCAGGTGTCCCACACGTGTGAGGCGCCAGGGAACAAACAGTGCTCCTTTCCAGTAATTTCTGCAAAAGCTCCAGCACTGACTGGCTCATCGTGGAACCGATCCCTGGCTCCAGGTGGGAGTCCTGCCAACTGTGGGGTTAGGAGAGGGACCAGCTCCCCTCAGAACACACCGGCAAAGAAGGGGGGCGGTTCCCCTACAGGAGAATCCAATCGGGATGGTGCTGACGGAAGTTGAGGGACAAAGGCTGAGCAGCAAGGGGTCTGGGGCCCACTGCAGAGTGACCGAAGCCTCCGGAGGCAGTCGGGGCTGTTGCCTTGGAGTTCTTCCCGGTGAAGTGTCGGGAAAGCTCAGCGCTCAGAGGAAACAGAAGTTGCCTCCTCGACGAGAGGGGGGGACCCTCAGCCCCTCAAATCCACCCCTTCTTCCCTCTTCTGTGGAGGCCATGGCCCTTCCCTGAACCCCCAGGGCTCTAAAAATCAGGGTGAAACCTGTAATACTGTCCTCCCCCAACCGTCACATAAAAAACTGTGATAGAGAAGAGAGATCACCCCAGTCACTGTCCAGATAGAAGCACCTGGAAAGCAGGCCCTGCAGACACTCACCTGAGGACCCCCCCGTCCGCCCCCCCCAGTGATGGGCCAGAGCAGCCACCCCAACCTGGGCCTGCACCCGGGGGTCTCATCTCATCATGTTCTCTGTATCTATGACTGGCTTTTTCAGACCCCACATGTAAGTGACATCACACGGCATTTCTTTGTCTGGCTTATTTCCTTTAGCAAAATGCCCTCGGTGTCCATCCATGGCGTCGCAATGGCATGATTTTCTTCTTCCTCGAGGCTGAATGACTTTCCATTGTATATACAGACCACGTTTCCTCCATCCACTCATCCGTCGCTGGGCAGCTGGGTTGCTTCCATGTCTTGGCTGTAGAAAATGCTGCTGCAGTGAACATGGGGTGCAGGCGTCTCTTTCCACTTCTGATTTCAGTCTCTTTCAACACACGCCCAGAGGTGGGACTGCTAGGTCGGAGGGCAGGCCTATCTAATTTTTTGAGGCACCTCTAATGTTATTATGATAATCAGTTTGCAACACACACACACATAAAATCACGATGTTGCACACATTAAGCTTACACAACGTTATATGACAATTATATCTCATAAAGCTGGAGGAGAGCCAGCAGAAAATCTAATTTCATCTATAATAAGGCCGCCCATCCTGTCTAAGCCATCAGCCAGCTGCAACTTTCCTGGGGCTGCCCTGACTCCAGGCACCCAGCCCCCCCAGGTCCCCATCCACTGCTCTGCTGTGCAGACAGGTGGATAGATGGATGAAACATCACTTTAAATACTTCATGAAAGTGCTAAAGAAGAAACATCTACACCCATGAGGGTGTGACAAAGGGATGCAGGGAACGCTGGAAGAGCCCCCAGGGCCACCGCTGGACCAATCTGAGCAACACAAGAAACCATGTAACATTGAGTCATAATCCTGTGTAAATGTCCATGAATCCATGCTGGCATAAGTAAGTGGTTGAATAAATTAGTAAGGACGACAGACAAATCCCCATGCACAACATGCCGAATAATCTATAGATAGCGCCTTCTCGTGGGGTGGGGCATCTGTGCAGAGTGACTTCCTGCCCTAGAGGATGGGATGGACCGAGAGAAGGCGTAAGTTTATGGTGGAGACCCCAGACAGACCTCGGCCAGGTGATCAAGGTTGGCATCCCAGTGACCAGTCACGGTGCCAGCAGGGGCCCTGACGTGATGTGATGAGGGGCACTTTCCCTCCGTGGTCTTCCTCCCCAAGCCCAGTTGAATCCTGAGGAAAACACCAGACAAATCCCCATTGAGTTACATCCTACGGCACACCTGCCCGGTCGTCCTCACCTATCAAGGTCATCGAAAACAAGGAAAGTCTGAGAAACGGTCACAGCCCAGAGGAGCCTCAGGAGACATGGTGACTTGGTCACGTGGGACTCTGGATGGAGTCCTGCGACGAAAATATCAAAAGGAAAAGGCAACAGATGAAACCTAAGGAGACGCGAAGAAAATACAGATTTTAGTTTAAACTAAGTTATGAGCACAACAACTGTACCTACATTTAAGATGCTAACAATGTGGGGAGAGAGTGCAGGGTAGATGGCAATTCTCTGTATCCTCCCAATTTCTCTGTAAATCAAACCATCCTAAAATAAAAGGTTGATTTTTAAAAGCACTTAATAAAAGCAATTGGGAGGAGAAACTTCTGCATAACTGGCCACCCTTCCGAGGCAGGGCTTGTGGCAAGCAGCCTTCCAGCACCATCTTCACACGGTGGCACCTGGATGCAGCCCCGCGCCCCCCGGCTCTGACACACCCTCAGCTTCGCAGAGCCGCTGGCCACGGACGGGTCCACCCCTTCCCTGTGAGGGCCCCTGCTGGGAGGTGCAGGGATGGTCTTAGGAGAGACGGGAGGTGCCCCCCACCCCCAGCAGGAGCTCCGCGATCAGAGGGGCTCGTGGAACTGTCTGCGTCTGTGTACTCCTGGAACTGTTCAAAACGAAAATTAAAGAAAACCAGGATGCTTGAGACGTGCTGACCTGAGGCTGGAGATGACCGACCGTGGAAGCTTGGGTGTGGGAGGCTATGTGGGGCTCGCTCAGGAGCCCTGATGCGGGAGTGGACAAGCTGGTGACCGTCTTCCCAGGTGGGAGACGCCGCCGTAAGTTCTGGGCCATAAGGAACTTGGGCACAATGGGTAGACTCTCAGGGCCCCTTGTCCTGGGATCCAGGGAGGGACGCAGGCCCTCTGAGATGCCTGGCTCTCAGGTTCAACAGGCCTGTTCTATCTGGTCCTCAGATGCTGCACTGTCTGACCATCACAGCGTGGACAGCAGTCAGCGTGTTTCTCACGGACCTGCAGGCCAGCAGGGCTGGTCCATCCAGGCTGGGCGGGCTGGACCCAGCAGTGACAGCCATCAGCCATCCACTCCCCTCCCCGCTTTCGTTTGCTTGTTAATGCATCTTTATCCCGCCCCGGAATATTTTCCATTAAGTCTCAGGTACCGTGTTAACTTACCCGAGATAAACTCAGAAGGTGCCTAGAAAACAATGCCGTATGCATTATGAAACCACGATGCCACAGCCCACTTGACACAATTGACAACAATACCTGAATGTTACTTGATAGCCGCTGTACATTAAGATTCACCTGACCGCTGGTTTAGGGACCCTCCGGGGTGAGAACCCCACTCCTGAGCCCCTTCCCCTCCACACTGTCCCCCGCCCCTGCCCCTTTGACTCCTGGGCCTGCCTTCAGGACCCAACCTACCAAACAGGCCCTGGAACCCCCTTCTGACTGCAGGTCCGGGGGTCCTACCCAAGGTGCCGGCTTCCAGGACCAAGTCTGCGCAACAGTGAACAGACAGAAGCTTTTGCGTTTCCAGCCCCGCTCTCCTTCCCGCACACACCGAGGCTCAGTCGCGCCCGACCACCTGCTTTCCCTGACGCCCCTCGGCCTCCGGGCCTCTGCATGCTTTCCTCTCCCTCCAGGGCCCTCGCAGCACGTTATCTGCTCGTGAAAACCTTCTCATCCGTTTTGGAACCATCCACTGTCTCGCGCTCCGGAGCCCCTCTCCTAGCTGACGTGGCAACGCACCCATGCACTTCTGTACTCCCGATCGTCACACCTATGTGGCTGTCGCCAACTCTGTGATGACCCCTGGGGCGAGGGGCTGGGCTGGCCATGTCTCTTCTTACCAGGACCCCACACAGGGAATGACAGTTAGGACTGCCCCATTCTTTGGGTTTGGAGTAACTGAAAGGAAAACTATTCTATCACTGATTTTACAGGATAAAACACTTGATTATAAAAAATACAAAAATGAAGAATTTTGCTTCTAAAAATGATGAAACAACAGTGAGTGAATACACCCTCTCACCTGAATCAACCAAAAAAATGGCTGAAACATAAAACAATGGTCTGCAAGGTGCTGGACATCGGACAACAAAGGGCAGTGACCTCTGCGAGGTGGGAACAAACTATGGGCCCTCTGTTCACCCCAACCTGCCACCTGGAAAGAGTCCCCAGGCTGCAGTACACGGAGGAGCAACCAGTAGAGCCCACTGGACTCTCTGAATTGAGGAGATGGAGCCCAATTTCAGGGAGACCACATTGGTGAGGGATCACCTGCAGAATGCCAACGAGGAGACACCTGTTCAGAGAGAGGCCACCAAGGTCTTCAGCAGGCCCTCCGTGAGTACTCAGCTAGGGATTAACCAGTGCATCTATGTGGAAATCTGCCCAGGCCAGAGAAAGAGCCACCAAATGAGATGAGATGGACCAGTCCCTGTCGTTCAAACAAGGCCAGGGAGAGTACCTGTCCCCAAGGTGCCTCAAGGTCCATAACAAAGGGCGGAGACTCAGCATCTGGAGAGTGCCGTCATGGAGGGAAACAATCAGCTCTAGACTACACACTGCTCTGGGCCCACCTAAACAAAATAAAATAAAATAAATCTCAGAAAGTGAGACACAGAAGGATCAAACTGCTTCCAAGTAAATTACCTATAACCTAGAGCCAGGCTCAAGAATATGTACAGAAATACATAAGTATCCAGCATCCATCAAGGAAAACTCATAATGTTTGTCATCCAATTAAAAATCACCAGGACTCCTATAAAACAGGACATTTAACACGTAACGAGGAGATACATCAATCCATTGAAACCAACCCAGCACGGACACAGATATTAGAATAAGCAGACAAAGACATTGTAAAAGTTGTTAAAATAGTAATTCATATGTTCATGGAGCTAAGTGGAGACACGGAAGATACATTTAAAGGCCTAAAGTGAAATTCTAGAGATAAAAACCATAATGTCTGAGATGAAAACTATGCTGATGGGTTTAATGGCAGATTAGAAATTGCTGAAGAAAAGATTAGTGAATTTGAAGACATAGTAACAGAAACTCTTCTAAAGGAAACAGAGGGGAATAATTTTAGAAACACAGCACTGTGAAGCTGTGAGACCACTTTACGCAGCATGTAGCAGGAGTCCTCAAGGAACATGAAAAGGAAAACTATTTGAAAAAGTAATGGCTAACATATTTTCAAAGTTGATGAAAAACTGTGAACCCAAAGAACCAAGAAGCTCAGAGAATGCCAAGCACAAGGAAACTACACCAACACACATCATCTTAACCCTCTGAAACTACCAATAAAGAGAAAATGCAAAAGCAGCCAAAGAATAAGGACACGTTACCTACAGGGGCACATAGATTTACACAGACAACACAAGAACATAGATTTATGTAGATGACATAGAGAAACACAGATGACAGAGGAACAGGCATAAGAAAGACAGCAGATACCTTGTTGAGAACAATGCAAAAAAGAAGACAGTGGCACATCTTTAAAGTAACTGAAAGGAAAAAAAAACTGTCAACCTAGAATTCTATACTTACAAAAAAAGTTTCTAAAATTGAAGTGAAATAAACTCTTCTAAAGACATTGAAAAGATGAAAAAATCCACTACCAACAGGCCTGCTTTGAAGAAAATGTTAAAGGTAGTCCTCCAGGCAGAAGGAGATAATGCCAAAAGGAACGACGGGTCTACTCAAATAAGGACATCAGAGATAGCAACTGCGTGGGTTACTACCTTATAAATGAAGTGGTTTAATAATGTACCTCTATGTAATATAATGAAGCTAGGCTGGGAGGAGCAAACATTAATATAATACAATAGAGTTATAGTTAATAAGCCAAAAAGTAAAACTGCATCATAAAATATTTGATTAGGGCCGGCCGAGTGGCTCAGTTGGTTAAGAGCTCGCTCAAGAGTGTGAGCTCTGGGCCGGCCGAGTGGCGCGATGGTTAAGAACTCGCTTGGGATGCCAGAGGGCCCCGGTTCGGATCCCACATATGAGGGCCAGTGACACTGCCCTCTACAGCTAAGATGCTGAACAACAGCTCAACCTGGAGCTGGGCTGCTGTGAGTCGCTGGTGACGGCATAGGCTGCAGCCCCTGCTGCAGTGGGTTGCCATGGGCTACCGTGTGTAGCCAGCAGCCAACGTGAGTGGCCAGCAGCCGCAGTGAGCGGCCGTCCAGAAGCCGGCGACTGATATGCCTTGCCAGAGAAGAGCGCAATGATGGTGCCAACTTGGGCCAGAGAAGCAACAACCTCCACAACTAGATTGAAGAACAAAACGACAGCAACTTGTCTGTTCCCCTTTCCCCAATTCCCCAATAAAAATCTTTAAAAAAAAATAAAAAAGAGTGTGAGCTCTGAGCAACAGTGGTTCGATGCCCAGCCCAAGCAGAGCTGCTGCTGAGCTACCAACAGGTGGCAGGATGGCAAAAAAACAAAAAAATTTGATTAATTCATAGGAAGGCAGTAAAAGAGGGAAATGGGAAAAAAGAACAAGTGAGATAAATAAAAACACTTGGCCATATGGTGGATTTAAATCTAACCACCTAAACCATCACATTAAATGTATTCTCTACACACCCAACTAAATATCATAGATTGTCAGATTAGATCAAAAAAGAGAATCCCAACTGTATGCTGTTGTAAAGTAATTAACCTTGATAATAAAGACAAACATTGGTAAAATTAAAAGAATGAATAAGATCTGTTATATTAATGGGGCGGATACACTAATTTCAGGCAAAGCTGATTTCATAGAAAAGGATTACTAGTTATAAATATGGTCATTTTATAATGACAGAAGGATTGATTCATCAGGAGGACACAACAGTCCTGAATGGTCATGGACTTAATAACTGAATTTCAAGGAAAACCAGAAAAGTCCACAATTATAGTCGGAGCTTGCAATGCCTGTCCCTCAGTCATTGACAGAACAAGCAGACACATCACTGAAGGCACAGATGATTTGAACACTGTTGCCAACTTGATGTGACCGAAGTTTATAGAACATCCCGCCCAACAACAGTCCTGCCCCATTCTTCCTAAGTGCACATGAAACATTATCATGATAGGCTGTCTTCTAGGCATAAAAAATCTCTAGGTTATTTTAAAGGATTCAAGTCAGACGAAGTATGTTCATATCAACATAGGATCAGAAATTAGTAACAGGAAATTTTTGGGAAAATCTTCCAAAAAGTTAGAGACTAAATAATATATTTCCGAATAATTCATGGTTCAAAGAAGAAATCCAACGGGAAATGAGAAACTTTCTGGATGGGATGGAAATGAAAATACAGCTAAAGTCATTATTGGTGTGTATGGGGTAATATGGTTTTTTTCAGTAGAAACAGAAAAAGCATTTGGAAAATTCAATACCCATTTCTGATAAAACACTTCAAAAGCTAGGCATAGAAGGGAACTCCCTCAAGCTGAAAGAGCCTCTGTGCAAACCCTTCAGCTGACATCATGCACACTGGTGAAAGACTGGCAGTTTTCCTTCTAAGATCAGATATGACACAAAGATGTCTGTTCCCCCACTTACACTCAGTGTTGTGCTGGAGGTTCCTGCCAATGAAATACGGCAAGAAAAAGAAAAAGTAATCTGGACTCAAAAGTCAGAAGTGAAACTATCTTTACTCACACATGTTAGGACTGTTTATGTGGAAAGCTTGATGGAACCAACCAAAAAGGTACTAATATCTGAGTTCATCAAGGTGGCAGGATACAAGATCAGCATAAAAATCAAATGGAATTCTATATATGGGGAACAATCAAATATTGAAATAAAAATAATTTAAAATAATACCCCAAATGCCATTTAACATAGTACCAAAAATATGATACATATGGCAAAAGATGAGAAAGATCTGCACACTGAAAACTATAAAATATTTACTGAGAAATGAAATAAGACCTAAATGGGGAGAAACACAAGAGTCCATGGGTCAGAAGCGTCAATACTACTAGGGATGATTGTCCTGCAAATTGGTATCATATTACATGAAATCCCATTAAAAACCCAGCAGTCTTCTTCATAGAAATTGGGAAACTGATTCTAAAATTCATATAGAAATGCAAATGATTTAGAAAAGTCAAAACATGTTTTAAAAGAAAAAAGATAGATGATTAATGCCACCAGATTTCAGGATGTCACCTAAAGCCACAGCAGTCAGGACAGGGGGCATAGAGGTTCATGAATAGTCAACGGTACAGAACAGAGCCCACAAACAGACCCATCGAGTATCGTCAGCTGACTTTCCACAAAACTGCAGAGAAAATTCAGCAGAGAAAGCATAATCTTTCAAACAAATGATAACGGGACAACTGAATAGCCCCATTCAAAAAAACAAAACTTGTATCCATAACTCACACCATGTACAAAAATTAACTCAAAATAAATCACAGATCTAAATGTAAAACCAAATACTAAAAGCTCTAGAAGAAAACATACCTGAAAAATGTATGGCTTGTTGCTAGGCCAAAATCTCTTAATTATGACACCAAAAGATGTAACTCATAGAACAACAAGTTGATGAACTGGACTTCATCAAAATTAAAAACATCTGCTCTTCAAACGACATTGTAAGGTGAATGAAAATACAAACCACAGACTGGGAGAAAATATGTGCAAATTACATGCCTGATGGAAGACTTGTATCAAGAATATACTAAGAACGCTCAAAAATCAAGAAAGCCAACAACTCAATAAGAAAAAAAAATTGTACTTTATCATAGAAGTATTTATTTGCACATATACAAATAAGCATATGGAAAGATTCTTAACATCACTAGTCATTCGGGAAACGCAAGTTAGGATCACAGGAGGGAGCTGCTCACACCCATTAGGATGCTGATAATTACAAAGGCACCACCCCCAGACAGGGTCAGTTCGCGGAGCAGGCATAGCTCTCGGGTGCAAACAGTACAGTCACGTGGGAAAGAGGTACTCCACGTCATAAAAAATGGCACCATCCAGGCATTCTACTCTGTGATATTTCCCATAAATGGAAACATGTGCTCATACAAAAGCTTATGCATGAATGTTCATAGCAGCTTTATTTGTAATAGTCAAGACTGTAAACAACCCAAATGTCCACCCAGGGGCGACTTCGTGAAGAACTGCTGTCCCCATGCAATGGAGCACCTCCCAGAAGTAAAAAGGGGCTGACTGTCTATTGATACATACAGTGACATGGAAGCATCGCAAAAGAATTTTACTGAAACAGACCAGACATGAAGGAGGAAACGGTGCATGAGTCCATGTTTGCAGATGTCTAGCAAATGCAAACTAATGTGTGATGATAGAAGCCACAAGCTGCCGGGCGATGGGGCGAGCCGAGTGGTGTGGGGTGGAGGGGTTACAAAAGGCCTACGGAATCGGTTGGGGGTGACAGGCATGGATATGTTCTTTCTTTATTTCCACAGGCATACATGTTGAAACTTATAAAATTGCCCACTTTAAATATGAGCTGTTTATTGCATGTGATTGTGTCTCCTGTGATGGTCAATGTTATGTAGTCACTTGGCTCGACCATGGTCCTCAGTTGTTGGGTCCAACATCAGTCTAGATGTTTCTGTGAAGGTATTTTTAGTTGAGATTAACATTTAAATCAGTAGACTTTGAGTAAAGCAGATCACCCTCCATAATTGGATGGGCCTCGTCCTATCAGTTGAAGGCCTTAAGAGAAAACAGACTGAGGTCCCCCAACAAGAGAGAATTCTGCCTCCAGATGGCCTTTGAACTCAAGCTGTAACATCAGCTCTTTCCTAGGTCTCCAACCTGCCTGTCCTGCAAACTCAGGACTTGCCAGCTTCCACAGTCACGTGAGCCGATTCCTTAAAATCTCCTCTCTCTCTCTCTCTCTCTCTCTCTCTCTCTCTCTCTCTCTCTCTCTTTGGTTCTGCTTCTCTGGAGAACCCTGACTAATAAATACATCTCCCCAAAACTGTTAAAAATAACAAAAGACACAAGAGGTGAATGCCCACTGACAGCATACAGAGGGTGCCAAAAAAATGTACACATATTTTAAGAAAGGAAAAAAGTGTATTAAAATTGTACTACTCAATATATACCAATAATAAAAGATGAACACAAGTCATGCATGTACATTTTTTTGGCACCCCTGGTATTTAATCTACAAAAGGGAAAACTGTCACCACATGATACATTCCATAGTTGCAAAAACATTGTTTGTCACATACGTATATGCGAAAGATTGTTAACACCTGTTATTGTCTTGTTTATACCTTTCTGTATTTCCCACATCTCAAAAATGTTAAAGGAATTCATTCCAAAAATTAAGCGTTCTTACTGGTCAATGATAAAAAGACAAACACAGCAGGAGAAAACTTGGCAAAGGATGTAAACAGTTGATTCACAGAAGATGTTAAAATGACATATACTTGAAAATTGTTGATGCTCATTAGATCAAATAAATGAAAATAAAACAATAGCAACAACTGTTTATCACATAAGCAATTGTCCAAGATCCTGGGACAATGATAACACCCAGGCTGCCATGGGAAGGCTGAAATGGGTCCTCTCAGCTACTGTCTGGACGGATGTAAACTAATGTAACCTTTTTTAGAATTTCAACTGGTAATACAGAACAAGGCCTTAAGATTTGACCTAACAATTCTAGTACTACAATTTTTTTCTACAAATAGCTATAACTATAGGAAAAGATTTAAATATAAGCGTGCCCATTGCTGAAATGTTTAAAAGAAAGAATAAAACACTAGAAATAGTCTAAATGTCCAAAAACTAAAAAATGATTGATCACATAAATGGTGGTATTTATGCATTATAGGCTTTCACACCGCTGTGCAAACAATTTTCTGGAAGAATCTACGATGCCATAAAATCATGTTCACTCCATACGAAGGAGGCTGTTTACAACAGGTCTACAGACTGAATATGCAAAAAGAAATGGAAAAGTTACTAACATGCTAAATGTGGTTAATGCTGAGTGGCAGAATTTAGGAACATTTTGTTTTTCTTCTTGTATCTCCATTTTCCAAAGGCTTCTCTAAATGAGCTTAATTCAGCGCTGAGAGGCGGGGAGCCGCAGGGCTCAGCTCGGAGCAGCCTGGAGCCAGCCGGCCGGGCCCACCCTTACCTACCACGGAGGGGCGCCCGGCATGTACTGTGAATGAAATACACAAACGCTACTCACCATCATGAGGCTGCATTGATAAAGTGGGGCGTTATTTTTCAAAATGACGCACCGATGGCGTCTACCAGCTCCACGCAGGGCACGGGCTCGGGCGCTGAGCTCAGCCAGGCTGCTCCGTGTCCACTCGGGGCTTCGTCCGCCCAGCTGAGCCTTCCCACCGCCTGTGTTGCGCTCCTGGCCCTCATGTCTCCCTCCGCGTCCGCCAGAAAGCCCTCAGAACGTAGCTGATGTCGTTGAGCTTGGTGTCTGTCCCCTGCACCTGGCCAGGGCCTGTCTCAACAGACAGCACTGCCATCTTCCCGGTTTGTCGAGCTGAAGTCTGGAGTCATTCTGACACGTCTGTCACGGTCCGCGGCGTCCAGTTCCCCGGGCTGCTCTATGGCACCTTCTCATGCGCTCCTGAACCCACAGGTGTGGCCCCGTCCTCACCGCTGTCTCCCAGAGAAGCGGTCAGCCCGCCTGTCCCCTGACTTCCGCACATGCTGCCAACTGCGGTCCAGCCCCTCTCCTTCCCACCTGCCCTTCCCCCCGCGGTCACTGGTGTCTTAGCACAGTGCACGTGGGAGATGCGTGTGGCAGGCGGCAGGCCCTCCCAGGAGAGTGCGCCGTTCTCCCCGAGAGAGTGGAGCAGGCCCGCTGCAGTCCACCCCTTTCGCTGCCGACCATGCATAGATCCACGTACATTCTTTACACAGCAGTGCCTGCCTCCCCACTGTCCCAACGGAGGCATCCCAACATCTCACCCAGTTCAACACTCAGCTCGTGGGGTTCAGCATCTCTGGGAGCTCTCCATCACACCGGCAGCCCGTGACCAAAGGGCAGGTAACTCAATGTGGAGGAGAGGAGAGAGACCAGGAAAACCACCCCGGGATCCCTCATTGTAAAGGCAGAGCAGGGGAAACGAGGAGGAAAAGCTGAGATTCCCGCCCAGACTTGCAAAGAGGGCCCTGGCCAGCCACCCTCACGGGCCTCCTCTATGGGGTCTCCGTCCCTGGTGCGCCCCAGGGCCCCGAGCACTCCACGAGGCAGGCCGCCCCTACTGTGGGCCAGGGCTCAGCAGCCCAGGCACACCGGGCTTGGTGTGGAGTGAGACCACGGGTTTCCTCACGGGGAGAATAATGACCGTCCCTCGCTTGCTCGGCGTGGAGGACGGTGGTGCTGTGATTCTCTGATCCACTTATAAGGGTTCCACACCGAACATTCTGTCAGTTCTGGCTGGTAACCAAAACCAGCCAATCAACAACAACACATTGTCACTCAACGGTAGGGCTGGGATCCAGAACTTCGCTTCCCGTTTCCAAGCAACAGAACTCAGCGCTCTGCTCACCCCCCACCCTCAGTTTCCATCTTGGTCTCTCCCCAGCCCCCAAGCCACCAGCAGACCCTTCCCTCTGGGCTGGGTCTTAGTCACTAGATCAGGGTTGTCTGTCGTCCCCTTGTCAGGAGGCCTCGACCCACCTCCTCGCTCTTTTCATCCTCACTGGGTTCCAGACGCTCCGCCATCCTGGGTCCCAAGTCAGCAGCACCAAGGAGCTCTTTGGTCCCTTTCCTCTTCTTCGCAGGACTATTGGTCCACGGCATGAATAGTCGATACTCTCCAACTTCCCACCTGACAAAGTCTTTGCTTGATCAACCTTTAGTCAGGCTCCTGAACCTCCTTCGAGGCCCACCTGTGCCCGTCCTCGTAAGATCCAGCTTTCGCAAAAACCCAGCTAAGTCAGTGTAACCAGAATCCCCACCCTCAGTATGTGATCGCCCTCTATATCCAACCAGGTCCCTCACCTGCCCCCATGCTCCCCCAGGTGTGATGTCTGATCACCTGGCCTGCCTTCAGCAGGATCCTGTTGGGTCTGTTTAGCCAGAATTGCTCTCACCCTTGACGTTTCCTCCTAGTAAATTTCCATCCACTGGCCCCACCTGCTCCGTGGCCGTAAATCCCCGCTTGACCACACTGTATTCAGAGCTAAGTCCAACCGCTCTCTTCCACTGCCAAATCCCACCACGGTGGTCCCACACATATCCCCCGGTCCTGAATAAAGTCTGCCTTACCATCTTTAATCCTTGCATTTTTTTTCCTTTAACATGGCAAATCCCTAATGTTACAGCTGCAAAAATCTCATGGTCTGAGTTCCAAGACAAAACAAGGCCATTGAACTCACCACGACCCTCCCTCTGCTGGGACCACTGTCCCCAACCATCGTACCATCACCCTGCATCCCTTGGCCTGACAGCTCCAATTTATCCTCCCAAATTCAACATAGACCCCATCTCTTCTGGAACAGAGTTTGTCAAACAAAGAAAATGACAGTAAACAAAATGACAGGTGGGCAACCAGCATTTTGAGAGGTGAATTAGGGCAGAATAGGAAATAGGGAGAATTGAGAGCATATGTGTCACCTGCTGGGACTTTCCTTCCCAGTGTGTACGTGCGCCTGGTTTGTGTATATGTGTATGCTGTGTGTGACGTGTGTATCCTGCCCCCTCACGCCCTCAGCAGGCCCTGAGCAGCCCTGCGGGCAGCTGCGTGGTCCCTCAGAGGCCCAGTGGCCAGGACTCCAGGCGACCATCTTCGCTTCTCCCTGCTGTTCAGTCCAGCGGCTCCTGGAAAGGAGCTCCCAGCGCCTCATGCAGGCTGAGAAGACCCTCTGCGTTCAGAAGGGCGAGCTTCTGTTAGCGTGTCCACTGACCTGCAGAGCCGCTGGGCTGTCTGCTGAGCCCCTGGCCTTGGGAGCTTGTCTCACTGAGGGGACATGAGAGGGAGTGGCGGGTGGGGACGCTCACCTCAAAATGTGCACGTTCTCTGTCCTCAGCTTGTTCGGAGGAACGAACCAGCTTTGCAGGTGATAATTAACTATGTAAACAAAACAAATGATAATGGTTGTTATCCTGCTCAGAAAATCCACCTCTGAGGCACCAGCCCTGCACAAGGGAGTTTGGAGACAAAACTGGGGCCTGGTTGGGTGACGGACAAGGAGGCAGCTCACAGAGGCCAAGGCAGTGAGCAGAGGTGGGGGTACCGCAGAGGGACAAGGAGGTGCTTTTGGGGACAGGTGTCCCTGCCTGGCAGTGCCTGGCCCTTGTGGGTGCTGGACCTCAGGGGACTCTGCGAGGGCCGGAGCTATGCTCTCCGTGGGCCTGGGGACTCCAACGCACAGCCAAGAACAGGGGGTGACAGGTCATATCGCGGGAAAGGACCGAAGCCACACTGTACCTGGATAAACTCCGGTGCCCCCACCCCAGGCGCCATCTGGAGTCCCAGGGTGGGAGGCTGGGCCTGGAAGGATGGGGACGCCAAGGGCCTGCGGGCCAAGCGGCGCAAGTCTGCAAACTTCCGGCTGCCCGGGCCCGGTCTCCCCGCGCGGTGCCCAGGCTGCGGGAGCGCCCAGCCGTCTCTGTCGCCATCCAGAGGCACGGCTCCGGCGTGGCGCCCCCTCTGCC